TTCCCAAGTGGTGCAGAGGGCAAGGAATTGGGCCATCATCTACTGCCTTCCCAGGCCATAGCAGAGCATGGATCAGAAGAAGAGCAGCCAGGTCTTGAACCAGTGCCCATATGGGATGCTAGCACTTCAGGCCTGGGCATTAACCTGCTGTCCATGGTATTTTGATTGGTATCACATAGAGTCTGTAATTTGCTTTCAGAAGAATGCATATTTTGATGATATTTTGGGTAATATTTTGTTAAGGATTTTTGCGTCTATGTTCATCAGGGATATGTATCTATATTTCTCTCTTTTTGTTGCATCTTTTCTAGGTTTGGGTATTAAGATGATGCAAGCTTCATAGAAGGAGTTTGAGAGGATCCATCCTTTTCAGTTTTTTTGAGCAGATTGAGAAGAATTGGAATTAGTTCCTTTTTTTTTTTTGACAGGCAGAGTGGACAGTGAGAGAGACAGAGAGAAAGGTCTTCCTTTTCCATTGGTTCACCCTCCAATGGCCGCTGCAGCCAACATGCTGCAGCTGGCACACCGTGCTGATCTGAAGCCAGGAGCCAGGTGCTTCTCCTGTTCTCCCATGCAGGTGCAGGGCCCAGGCACTTGGGCCATCCTCCACTGCCCTCCTGTGCCACAGCAGAGAGCTAGACTGGAAGAGGAGCAACCAGGACAGAATCCGGCACTCTGACTAGAACCGGGACTAGAACCCAGTGTGCTGGCGCCAAGAGCAGACGATTAGCCTATTGAGCTGCGGCACTGGCCGAAATTAGTTCTTCTTTAAATGTCTGTTTGAATTCAGCAGTGATGCTATCTGGTCTTTTAGGTTTCTTTGTTGTGAGAGTATTACTGATTCAATCTCTATTTTGGTTATTGGTGTGTTTACATTTTCTATAAGTTCATGACTTAATTTTGGTAGATTGTATCTTTCTAGGAATCTATCCATTTCTTCTAGGTTTTCTAGTTGTTGGCATAGAGCTCTTTGCAATAATTTCTGATAATTCTTATTTCTGTGGTATCTATTATTACATTTCCTTTTTCATATCTTATTTCATTGTTTTGACTTTTTCTTTTTTTTCTTGGTCAGTTGCACCAATGGTGTATCAATTTTGTTTATTTTTTTTTTAAAAAAACTAGCTTTCCATTTCATGGATTTTTGTAATTTTTGTATCAGTTTTGTTTATTCTCTAATTTTAATTATTCTTTCTTTCTACTAGTTTTGTGTTTGGTTTGTTGTTGATATTCTATATCCTTGAGTTGCATTGATAGCTCATTTATTTAGTGCCTTTCCAGTTTTTTCATGTAGACACTGATTGCTATGAACTTCCTTCTTAACACACTTTTGCTATATCTCATAGGTTTCAATATAATGTATTGCCATCTTCATTTGTTTCCATAAATTTTTTGATTTCTGTTTGATTTCTTTTATGACCCACTATTCATTCTGGAGCATGCTGTTCAGTCCTTATGTCTAATTATGTTCTAGAGATAGTTCGTTTCTAGCTTCATTCCACTGTGGTTTGAAAGGTGTATGGATGATCTCAATTATTTCTAATTTGCTGAGACTTGCTTTGTGACCTATTTTTTTTTTAAAAGGAAGTTTATTGGTCTTTAAATGGCTCAAATTGCAAATAAACGAATTGGGTAGTGGCATCAGCCTAAGACATGTGATGCATCTTTGTCAGTTGGCTTCATAGCACCTCAGTACCCAGGAGAGGAAAGGTCTCAAAGCAAAGTCACAATGTTAGTGGTTAGGACCCCTGGTTAAATAAGACTGCAATGCGTGAGTACACATAGAGACTGCTGGGCCCGCTGGCCAGTATTACATTGGTAACTTTAATTCTGCACATGGCATAACCTATGAAAAATATGAAATGGAAGATGTACATCTCACACCTTTGAGGAACAAATATTTAACATGACAAGCTGGATATAGTATCTAAAGAGCTGAGTTCCTTAAAAGTCTAGTTTTGTTAGCTTACATATACAACCTGTTACCTGGAATGCCTGAACACATCCTTGACTTGTTCAAATTAGGGCTGACTAAAAAGAAAAAAGAAAAAAAAATCTGTTAAAATCAACTGTCCTAATTCCATCCTGAGCAGGAAAAGAAAAGTGACAGTGGTCTGTGTATTTCTCATCAAAATTATGTATCCAAATAGCATGCCGGAACTCTTCCAGTGGCAACATCACACAATAGTGACACCACTTGACACACTGTGGTCTCTGTGTGCCACACACGTTTTCTGCACTATGCCTGGGTTTGATTGCTTGATGTTATTTTTAGGAAGATATAGCTACACAGTGCTTAATTAGGAACATAAACAGACTACAGATACTCTCAATAATTTCTATAAAGCCAAACTGTAAACCTCAGGAATACAAGTTTAGAAATAAACAGGTGGCAAGCATGCTTATTCTCCCCAAGTGTTCTAATGCCAAATGCATTAGTGCTGCTAACGTTTGTCCTATGCCCTAATTCCAGGAGATTAAAAAGTAACACTTATATGCTCACCACTCGTAGAAAGTGATTTCTAGGGACCAGCATCTTAGGAAAAAAAAAAGAGGCTTCACTCAAACACAAGGGGTACTGAATCTTCAAAGTCTCAAATTATCTTACAAGTCGATGCTGGCCCTTCATTTCATACCACCTTACAATTTATTAAAGCAGTCAAGAAGCTCTGGAACCTTATTTAAGAACCAGAGTATGGCACACAGTTTTCATCTGGACAGACTCCGAGTGGACAGTTATTTCTCAAGAACCTTCTATACAAAAGCTGTACTCCATACCAGGCATACAGTGTCTCACAGAATGATGAAACTGGGTATTTTTCGGTTTCTAAATTAAGGCATATTCCAAAATGTCCGTGTACAAGTTTACACCACTTTTCTAAGTTAATCACCAGTTAATTAATGCAGACTCACAGATGAATTACTCTCAGTTTAACTATATGCAACAACCATGCCAACAACTTTTTCTTCTATATTTTGCATAACAATGGTTAAAAAAAGTGGTACAGTTTAACTATCATGTTCACAATTGTCATTTTTCAAGGCAGTAGACCAAGACATTTTAAAATCATATAAAATTTAAGCTTTATAATAAACACCAGAGGAAGTAGCCTTTCCTCCCATTCCCCACCCCACATCTCACCTCTTTATTTAACAGTTCCAGAAAGACTGCCTGAGAGACACACACGCTACATTCAGGACCGTGATAAATGTAGGCAGTTATGAAATAAGCTGAACTTTGCTTCTTGGAGAAGCCACATTAATTTCTTTTTAAAGTGAATCTGACTTTCAGTGCAGTTCCAATTCATGCTTTTAGTGATACATAACAATTTCCAAAATGTTAAAGTAATTTCAGTCAATTGGGCCTTCAATGGCAATGCTTATAAATTATATTTATTAGTATGGTCAAGGTAAGAAAGGAGTTTGGGCTTTGATTATAAAATGCAGCATCTTTCTCTGATTCTCTTGGCTAAACTTTTCCTCTTCTTTTTCCCATTCTTTTCTTTGCTGTCTTCCATCTTTCTGGCTCGAATTTCCCTCATTAAATCAAAAAATACCTTGTCAACATTAGCCCGCGTTTTAGCAGATGTTTCCACGTAGTTAACATTCCACTGGTCCGCTCGGTTCTTTGCCTCTTCTACGGAAACCTGCCTTTTATCTTCTAAATCTGATTTGTTACCAACCAGCAGAAATGGAACATTCTCATCTTCTTTTACTCTTAGGATCTGCTCCCTGAAGTCGGCTGTGGCTGCAAAGGATAACATTTCCGTAATAGAGAAGACACAGAGGAAACCCTCCCCGCTCCGGAAGTAGTTGTCTCTGATGGCAGCATAGTCCTCCTGCCCTGCTGTATCTAAGATGTCGATCTGTACTTCCTCCCCATCCAGCACTACTTTCTTGCGATAGCTGTCTGCTTTGGTGGGCTCATAGTCCTCCACAAACTCATCATACATGAACTGCAGAGTCAGAGCAGACTTGCCCACGCCACCACTCCCCACCATGATGACTTTGTGTAAGGCCAAAGAATTCTGACCCTTGGGCTTATTTGCAGCCATCTTGTGTTGCAGAGTTTCCACCAAGGGACTAAGAAGAATCTGCACCTCGAGCCGGTCCGCAGCCCCGCGGGCTTCTGAAGCCGTGGCCGCGCTGGCTCCGGCCGGAGGGGGCTCGGCCCTTGTCTCTTTGTGACCTATTTTGTCTGATATTAAAATCACAACACCAGCTCATTTTGGGTTTTTGTTAGCATAGACTATCTTTTTCATCCTTTTACTTTACTTTACTTATATTTGTTGATGAAGTGTGTTTCTTATAAGTAACAGATAGATGGGTCTTGATTTTCAATCCATTCAGTCAGTCTGTATCTTTTAACTGGAGAATTGAGGCCATTTACATTCCAGGTGAGTATTGATAAGTAATGACCTGGCCCTCCACTTTTCCATAAATATTCATATCATTTACTTTGGATTTATTTTGTATTTCTATTGGGGTTTTCTGCTTTCTCATTCTTTCATAATGATGGCTATCTTTCTGTGTTTTTGTGTATGGCACATCCTTAAGCATCTTCTGTAAGGCTAGACGAGTTTCGATGAATTCTTTCAATTTCTGTTTGTTATGGAAGGTCTTTATTTCACTTTTATTCATAAATGCAAGCTTTGTGGGGTACAGTATTCTGGGTTGGCAGGTTTTTTTTCTTTTAAGACTTGGACTATATCTCAGTATTCCCTTCTGGCCTGTAGGGTTCCTGATGAGAAGTCAGCTGTGAGTCTAATTAGCGATACTCTGAAAGTGATTTGTCATTTTTCCCTTGCCCAGTTTAGAATCTTTTCTTTATGTTTTGCTGTAGAAAGTTTGACTACAATGTGTATTGGTGAATATCTTTTCTAGTCATGTATGTTAGGAGTTCTATATACTTCCTCTGCTTGAACATTTCTATCTTTCTCCAAATTGGGGAAATTTTCTGTAAATATTTAATTGGTTTTCAATTCCTTTTTCTCTTTCCTCTCCTTCAGGAACTCCTAAGACTTGTATGTTGGGTCATTTGATAGTATCCCATAGATTTCCAACACTGCTTTCTTTCTTTTCTTTCTTTTTTTTTTTTTTCTTTGACAGGCAGAGTTAGACAGTGAGAGAGAGAGAGAGAGAGAGAGAGAGAGAGAGAGAGAGAGAGAGAAAGGTCTTCCTTCCATTGGTTCACCCCCCAAATGGCCACTACAGCTGGCGCTGCACTGATCCAAAGCCAGAAGCCAGGTGCTTCCTCCTGGTCTCCCATGCAGGTGCAGGGCCCAAGCACTTGGGCCAACCTCCACTGCCCTCCCGTGCCACAGCAGACAGCTAGACTGGAAGAGGAGTATCCGGGACTAGGACCCAGTGTGCCGGCACCACAGGCAGAGGATTAGCCTAGTGAGCATTGGCGCTGGCCTCCAGCATTGCTTTCTAGTTTCTTCTTCTTCTTTTTTTTTTTTTGTCTGTAAGATTTTCAAAGATTCATCTTCTAATTCAAATATTCTTTCTTCTGCCTCTTCAAGTCTGCTGTAAAGACTTTCCATTGCAGTTTTTATGTGATCCATTTTATCTTTCATTTCTAAAATTTCATTTTGATTTCTCTTTATATTCTCAGTTTCTTGGGAGAAGTTTTCATTCATTTCTTGTATGGTTTTCTTTAGCTCATAGATTTGCTTCTGATTTTTTTGAGTAATTCTATGATTAATTTTCTAAATTACTTTTCTAGCATTTCCTCAATCTTTTCATCTTAATATTCTAATATTTAAATGTTGTTATGTTCCTCTGGGGGTCATGGTGACTTCCTTATTCTTGTTTCTTAAATTTCAGCTCCTATTTTCTGGCATTTGTGGAGTTGATTTTTAATTTTTTCTTGTGTTGGTTTTTATCTTTGGGGTTATGCTTCTGTGACTTCATGGAATGTCTGCCCTTTCAGTGACTACCAGGAGGCATGTGGTGGGTGTGGCCCAGAGGCTTGGGTTAATGATCTAGGGTGGGGCTAGTTTTAGGGGTAACACCAACATGGGTGTGGTAGAACTCCAAAGCCAGCTCTGCCCTACACCTTTTTGTGTAGCTACAAATGTTCCAATGTCTTAGCATATAGGGCTCCCACAGATGCTGAGACTATAGGGTGCTATTGGTGCAGGTTCTCCTCTGTCTCTCATAGTTGCCCAGCCACCTTCCTGCCAAGCTCTGAGGCAGGGAGGGCTGTGGGCCATTCCCTCCATTGGTAGCTCTGGATCACATGTGCCCACTAGGGTCCCCAGTCTAAAGCCTGCCTGATGCTGCTGGCAGCTCTGTGTCCAGGTGTCCCATCTCAGTGAACTGTTATGTGCATGCCTGTAGTCTTCTGAGTTGTAGCACTGGTTTAAAAGTATGCCTACTCCCTCTATTGGTAGGGTCATGAGTTTTGTATTGGAGAGATTGGTTTGAATCAGCTGTCCCCTCTACTTCCACTAGGACCTCAGGTGACTGCCAGCAACCGCTAGCTCCCCAGGCTCCAGTCTGGACCCACTGCATGCTCTCTCTGGCTCTATGCCCATGGATTGGTGTAGATAAATCTGCCCTCACTGTCTCAATAGTGCTGCCAGCTCAGGCTGTCTGTGGCTTCTATTCTCTGGGTGTGTGTTAACACTCATCACACAATTTCAAGCTATTTCCCCTCCTGTTGTGGGGCTTCCCAGGTGGTTTTCTCTTCTCTTCTTTTCCAAGAGTGTACCTCCTATCCTATTCTCTGCATAGCCCTATATCCTAGCCCTGCATAGCAGGCTGCTCTCTAGCCCTCAATATTTTTCTTTCAAACTTAATTCTTAGGTGACTTTTTCCTTGTGACATCAACGTGGTGAAAATTATTGAATTCTCTTTGCAACTATTTCATGCCCCCAAATTCCCAAAGCCATCTTGACCCAATCTTTCTCAGTTCTCAGAGGATATGTTGTTTTATCTTTTCTGGAATTCTAGGGGACTATAAATTAAACTTTCACTTTACTTTCAATCCTCAAAGCTATAAATACAAATATCTTTCCCTCAGGATTTTCTGTAATTGCCAAATCTTTCCTTTTTCCATTCATTTTTCCCTTATTTTCCATTTTAAAAATAAATGGACTATTTTTCAATAAATGCCAATATGCATGCTTATTTTTTAAAAAAATTTATTTATTTGAAAGGCAGAGTTACAGAGAGGCAGAGAGAGAGAGAGAAAGAGAAAGTCCTCCATCCACTGGATAACTCCCCAAATGGCCACAATAGCTGGAGCTGGGCCAATCTGAAGCTTGGAGCCAGGAGCCTCCTCCAGGTCCCCCACATGGATAGGTGCAGGGGTCAAAGGACTTGGGCCATCCTCTACTACCTTCTCTCTTTCATAGAAGAGAGTTGTATTGGAAGTGGAGCAGAACATGAATCAGTGCCCATATGGGATGCTAGCACTGAAGGTGGCAGTTTTACCTTCTATGTGACAGCACTGGCTCCTACATGCTTGTTTTATTAACATTTCTATGAACAGTTCTAGTCACAGTTATGAAAATATATTATACCCTAATAAGAGGAAAGATTTTAATCTTTAATTTGTATTTGATTTTATGAATATTGCCCAATTACAGCATCAGATCATAGTGTATACCAGTGCTAGCACTGTGAACATGCAGCCATGTATGTTGGCTTTTCTATTGTGTTGTCAATTCACATAAAATTCTGTAAGTAACCTAAGAAATTTTTATCTTCAAAATTTCTCAAATCCATCTGGGGTCAGGCTACTCTTACTCTTTCAAAGATTTTTTTTACTCTTTATATATTTTTATGGGACAGCACTTTCCATTGACTTTGAAATTTTCAATAATATAGTTCTAGATGCTGGTGTTCCTTTAAAATCAATATGGAAAGGATTAATCCCTTCTGAATTTTAGTTTCTGAAAAATTTTATAGGATTTTTATACATAGCATTAATAATTATTCACTGCACTTGCTCAGACTTTTTTGGCTATCATTGTTTTTTCAAAAATATGTATCCACTCAAAGTTATCACATCATTGTTGTCATAGCATTTAATTTCCCGTTTTCTTTTGCCTTTGGATTTAATGCTATCATCTATAAAATATTTCACTTTCTTAGTGTATCCTGATCCTAGCACCATGAATATGTAAACCTATTCATTGGCTTTTTAATTGGAAGATTATCAGCTTCCTGAAATTCTTCTAAGTTGCCTTGGAATCTTTTGTATATCCAGTATCTCTGAATGGTCTAATACCAATGTACTGCTTCATGCTATCAGAATCACATAATTTTGCCATTTGGGAGTTTTTAGAGAACTCCAAATTTATCACTTCTGCTGACATTTTTGATAGTATCATTCTACATGAGATCTTTCCATCGATATTCTTCTAGAAGGTGACATTTTTGTCTCTTGATTTAAGTTTCTGTAATATGCAATCATGTTTAAAATGTAATATTAAAGGACTATTTTCACAAAATCCCCTTGTATTTACTTGCCACTTGGTAATTATTCCTTCCAAACTACTCAGTTCTACCCTAATCCCAATTTATAAGGTGATATAACATCACTTGTTTATTTTTCTATGATTTTATTATAGTCACCAGTGTATATAATAAGTGCCTAGTGTAAGCAAGTGTTTGGGTTGTTGTTTACTATGCTTATTGAGAGGTTATCAACTCAGTAATTTCTTTTTTTTTTAATTTTTTAAATTATTTTATATTTTTAAACTTTTATTTAATGAATATAAATTTCCAAAGTACAGCTTATGGATTACAATGGCTTTCCCCCCATAACGTCCCTCCCACCCGCAACCCTCCCCTTTCCCACTCCCTCTCCCCTTCCATTCACATCAAGATTCATTTTCATTTCTCTTTATATACAGAAGATCAGTTTAGCATACATTAAGTAAAGATTTCAACAGTTTGCTCCCACACAGAAACATAAAGTGAAAAATACTGTTTGAGTACTCGTTATAGCATTAAATCTCAATGTACAGCACACTAAGGACAAAGATCCTACATGAGGAGTAAATGCACAGTGACTCCTGTTGTTGACTTAACAAATTGACACTCTTGTTTATGGCATCAGTAATCACCCTAGGCTCTTGTCATGAGTTGCCAAGGCTATGGAAGACCCCTGAGTTCACTGACTCTGATCATTTTTAGACAAGGCCATTATCAAAGTGGAAGTTCT